TATTTTCTTATTGATTAATATTTATTTGCTATAATTTGTTTTGTTTGATGAATTGTGATGATTTGAATATTTAAAGAAAAAAAAGAAAAGAAAAAAACAGATAAATAAGAGAGAAGGGAGTTGAGTATCAAGACTGCGGTTGTGCAATAGAGCAGAGGGTAACACCGAAGTGTTTATTGTCAACCAGTGCTTTGGGAGCCTTCACTGGCGTTAACCAGGATTTGTGCTACTCAATTGTGCGAGAGTTGGGAAAGACAAACTAATCTCTTATTTATCCTATTTATTTATATTATATTCCTCCTTATATTTACATTCAATCAACAAATACTATTTAAATGATTGTAATATTCTTGTTTAATTAATTCAATGATGCTTAAATGAATAAAAATAAAGAAAATAGAAAAACAAATAAATTGTTTATCTTTATTTTGTTATTATTATTCAGAAGTGAATATTTCAAATTCTTTATTATGTTTTATTTCTATTTCTAATTTACAATTATTTGATATGATATTTGAATTAAATGAATTATTTCTGTTTCATTAACAGAATTGAATGTGTAAAACATTGAGTCTTTCATATTTTTTATTATTATTGTTTGTAGGATTTTGGCAAAGTCTAATTTTAATTTCAGTACTTTTAATCTTCTTGCTGACTCTTTGTGAATTAATCCATTTATTGATAATATTACAGGTATTATTTCAACATATATTAATTCTCTATTATTTCTTATTTTCTCTTGTAATTCTTTGTATTTATTTATTTCATGAATGTAATTTAATTCTAAATTATTATCTTGACATATAACAACATCTATAATATATCATTTCTTTTATTTCATATTTTGATAATATATATCTTATCTTCTAGCATGGAAAGAATGGTCACTAACCAATAAATATTTATTGTAAGTTATGACCATTTCATCATTATTAATACATTTAGGAGGATTATTAAAATCAATTGCATCAAATTCATTAAACTGTGTAATTAATAAATGTTTATATATTTGTTTACATACATAATCATGTTTTAATATTTGATTCTTTTTCATTACAGGACATCCTAACAGTATATGACTAATAGATGCTATTGTGTTATGACAATGTTTACAATATTTTAAATCATCATTTTGGAGTATTTTAGATTTAATATTTCCTGTCATAGTTACTCCTTCTTGCATCTTTACTATTTGAAGGAATGCATTTCTTTTTATATTTAATGACCTCCATGTGGCTACTGTTAATTTCTTATCATTGAAAGTGCCATTTGCACATCTTATATATTCACCACATTTCTTTTCTTTCCATTCATTTAAATATCTTTCATTTAATTCATTATTTACAATTTCAAATACTTTCTTTACATTGTGCTTTCTTTCATTTATTTCTATTACATTCATTAATTCATTAAAATTAATATTCTTACCAAATGTTTTCTTCATTCTTTTAATTATTCAATTTGGATTTTCTTTTATTGTTTCTATCATTTCTCCTATTTCTGTATTTGATATTTGTATTTTAAATATATTCTTAATAATTCTTTACCACATTCATCTCTTGCTGATATTAATCCTAATCCCAATTCATTTATTTTAACATATATTCTACTTTTGGGAATATTTCTACTATATAATTGGAGTTGTATCAATGATTTTCTTATTTGTTTATCTATCTTCTCCAATTCTCCTAGTTTCCATGTGACAATACAAAATCCATATCTTAATTTGGAGATTATATCACTATTAATCTTTCTTATTGTATTGAGGCTGCTATATTTCATAGTATTTAATGATGATAAAATAGAAGATATATCATTTAATATTCTTGTACAATATTTATTAATATTTACTTTATCTCCTATTTCAATACCAAGGTATTTATAAGGGTTATCATTAGTTATTCTTGGTAGTTCAGCTAATTCACCATTTATTTGACTATTAATATTAGTCATTATCCCACTATTATCTTCTTTATTTTTAATCCTATTGCATTAAATATTTCTTTAGTTAATTTGTGTGCTTTTTCCATTTCATCGAGGCTATTAGTCATTATCTTTAAATCATCCATATTTAATATGTTGGTTTAACTTGACCTGTTTTTCTTCTCCATTCATTTTAATATTTAATTTGTTTATTTGTTTATCTAATTGTTTAGATAATATAACAATAGATAATACAAATAAAAGTGGAGATAGGCTGTCACCTTGTATTATTCCTTTTTCTACATTAATCATACCCACACTTTCTTGATTATAATACAAATTAAGTTGTGTATTATTTAATATATATAATATACTATTATTAATTACTGCTAGTGGGATATTAAAATAAATTAAGCATTGTTTAATCCATTGATGATTAATACTATCATATGCTTTGGAGACGTCATAATATGTTTCTACCCACTTCCATTTATTCTTTATTAATAATTGAATGATTATATTAATGTATAATAAACAATGTTTTTATGATGCGTATGTGTATTTTTTACATCTAATTTGATTTAATGATAGCTGTTTTTCAATTTGATTTAGCATCAATTGATTTTCTATTTTCATCAATAATATTGATGTATATACTTTTAACAGACAATTGAACCAAATTATTTGTCTGTAATTTTGTTTGTATAATTTATCTCATTTCATATAATAATGACATTGATGAAATGAATATTAAATTCATTAAAATTACATAGCAAACATTAAATAAATTCAACAAATAAATTATTTGATATTATAAATATTTAAACAAAACAACATATTTAACCAATTGTATGTATTTTATAAATAATAATGAATTAATAG